GCGAGAGTTTACTTCCTCGACGTCCGACGAAGATGAACGCGACTCGCATCCAGCGTGCGCATGAAACAAGGACGAGACGCGTCGGGACAAAGGGAGGATGCTGTTAGAGAAAAATATAGACGTATTCCTGCGGTAAGGAAGAATGAGAGAGGAAAAATCGTTGGAAGGTCAAAGAGCTGGGAAGGGGTAAGTTAAGGAAGAGAGGGAAAGAGAGAGAGAGAGAGAGAGAGAAAGAGAGAGAAATACAGAGAGATGCGTAGCGGTAGATGCAGATGCGAGCCGACGCCAGCAGACACATAGGGAAAGAATGGAAGGCAGGAAAAAATGTCTCGTGGGGACCGCGAGACGAGGAGGATGAGAGAAGAAGACAATTTTTAGACGGAGAGGGGAATGCGAGAGGAGTGGAAAGGGGGAAGAGATTAAGAAGGAAGAGGAAACGTCGGTGGTCGCGCAGAGTGGTGCGTTAATCGGTTTGCTAAAGTTAAAGGGATGGTCACGTGGTGCGTTAAGTCGTCGTTGTGCGCACGTTCGGTCGAGCGAAAGAGGGAGGGGAGTACAAAGAGGACGAGGGGATAGGGGGTAACGCGTTGCATCGGAAAGCCGGAGCACCGGTGCTGCACCCGTCAGCAGTCTTACGATGCACTTTGCCCTGCGCGTCTCCGATGCGGTGGCGCACGTGCGACGTGACGCGATGCGACGCGCAGCGACGTTCCACGATGACGAGGTGCCTCGTCGTGACGCATCACCAAAATCGCATCGAGTTAACACGTCCGCGCGTCGACAAGTGTTGCTACACCGGTGACGGAGAGATCGATCTCTCTGTTTAGCGAGGCTTTCGCCGCGCATACCGATTTCCAATTCCTTGCGCCTAGTACCGCGCGGCTCGTCCGCTATCTCTCACCTCGTTCCCATTCTATTTCAACGTTTTCACAGATACCGCCGAGTCGGCTGGAAACATCGCCACGACGTTCGGCTCGAGCGGCGCTTCCTTACAAAATGAAATTCGTTCGTTCCACGATCCCCCGTGGATATCCTCCGTGGACATTGCCCTTTTCATTCTCGTCCACCGGTATCTCCACCGCGTCCTTCTCCGTCACGTCGACCGTCCTCTTCTCTCGCCACCCTTGTCGTATGTAACGTGTGCTTCTTATTACGTAACATTGCCACATTGCATCTTCTGGGACAGAGAGTTCCTTCTCTTTACCACGTTTCTTCCCCCTTTTCTTCCGGCGTTTCGTTCTTCCTGCATCGCTCCCCGCTTCCAGTCCCACTATCCAATTTTAAAAGCCGCCTCTTTCTCATCGACGATCGCTGAGAACTCGTTTAGCGTGCGAGCCGCTTTTTTTAAATTTCAAATCGAAACACCAGACGACGAGTCGCTGTTTAATCGATACTTTGTCCGAATATTTAGTTCGTTATCTTGTTTTTTTTCTTTTCTATTCTCTGACACCATTCTGATACGATTTACTCGTGACGACAATGCAGCCGACCTTTTGACTCCGCCGCTGCCCGCCCCACTCCCTCCGTTCCCACGTGGCAACGAACTTTCGACAAAAAGTAATCATCGACCTCCAGCTAGCGCCGGAAGTCGTAGGAGGATGCCAATTGTACGACACTATCTTTCAGCGGCGCTATCTTCGCCAAAATAAACCTACGAACCAAGAGAACGGTAATCGGTGTTACGTGAAATAGGAATATTTGAACGTTGCTCGTGATAGCTACTAGACAACTCGAAAGACGACTTGGACCGGTGATTCGAACGGAAATACGGACGAACCTGTGACCATCTTCGCCGGACACGTATTCGCGTGAGTACACTTGTTCTAATAAATAGCTCGTTTATGTAGTTGAAAGGCGAATCTATTCGATCGCCTCGAGTACATAAATGTACAGCTTTAAAATTTTTAATCGCCGCGGTATCGCGCAACACGCTCGCAATCTCGACGCGTAGGCGTCCAAGAGGAAATAGTGAAGTTTAAGCTTCTTCCTGGCGTCTACGAATCGCAGCTCGGAATCTTACATCTCGCAGATGATTTCGCACGAGTCTGTTCGAGATAGTTTCCCATCCTTGACCATCGTCAACTCGTTAAAATCAAATCGCAAAAGTATTATACGATCGACCGTATATTCGTTGGTCGGAATATTCGTCGGTGGCACGTAGAAGCGTTTGGCCCGTACATTGTACGCCAACAAAAGCGTGTACGCGCTTATATATAGAAATAGCAGTGACGGAACAACACCGGAAGCGAAGGAGTTCCGCCCAAGCCTGAAGGGTCAGTGCACTTTGAAAGGCGAGATCCAAGACCGCGCGTTTGCTTGCCGAAATCCTATCTGCTTGCTCCGCCAAACTAGTCAAAGTTCTTACGTTATTATCGCGAAACGGGGGAAAATCGATGTTGCGGTAGAAACGAAACGAAGCGACGAGTTGCTCGGAAGGGAATCGCGCTCGAAGAAACGTCCCCCTCGGCGATGCATCCTCGACGGAAGTAAGATAGGCGTTCCGGTGCGTGCGGGTTTTAAGGTCTTTACGGCCGCGCCAAGCGTTTCTCTCGTTAACGCGTGCAAGCGTTTCCTCGCGAAACGCGTGACTTTATGAATGAAACCACTACCGAGCGGAGTTTCTACGCGATGCCGGTAGTATTCGCGTTTACTCGCTCGTTCTATGTAGGAAGGAAGTCGCGAGCGAGCTGGAATTGTCTCTTCCATCAACGTTGCGCACCGTACGCGCTCGGTCAATTACCCGGTCAATAGTTTCCCGGCAGGATGCTGCATTCAAGGAAGTGTAACTTCGTCCGCAGGTCATCTACAGGGTGCTTTGAATCGCGCCGATCTGCCAAATATATCGTTCGTCGTTTGATCAGGTAGATCGGTTTAACCTCAGCGGCGCCAGCTCGAGTATCCATTTCTCTAGCGTTGTATTTTCTAGCGAACGTATGGCAAAAGAATTCGCGTAACAAATAATACGCGGAACATTTGACAAAAATTCGTACGATTTGCATACGTCTCGTCGAGTCCCAGATTTTTTCCTTCGTCTTTTCGCAACAAGAATCTAGCTATTTCGCTCCGCAGCGACATATACAGACAATTTCGATAACGCAAGACTGACGGACAACGTATCGAATGTTAAAAACGCTTCCGTGCGAAGAGAATCGTGTTTGGATCTGTCGTGTTCTCTGCCGTAGATTCGAAGCTCTCCTCGGAATATTCGTCTTGATGCGGCGAGACGAGGCGACACAGCGCGAAACGAGACGAGACGAGACGAGACGATACGCGTTCCAAGTAAGCCGAAACAGTGTCGCAGTGGGCTACGACCGATCGAATTCTAGGCCGACGACAGGCGACGCTATTTCTAAACTCATTTCTATTTTCTATTTGCATGCGCCGGCATCGCCACGACAATTTTATACGTCTGCGATATTTCGAGGAGTCGGCGTTAGCCTGTCCCGTGTCTTCCGCCGAAACCACGTAAGCGTAGATCTATTTGCTGATCGAGAAGAAAGAAAGTTCATCGACAGGTCGAACAGAGAGCAGCCGATAACCACAAAGCCGGAGCCCTTCGATTCTTGTTGCGATTTTACGGGCTCGTGGCCGATAATGCGAACGTAACGGACGGTCTGGCTCGCGTTTCCGCCGGAGTGTAATCGTATTCGATCGAGCAATTAGTAGCATGGAGCGGCCATTAAGCACTGCTATTCTCCACGTGAACGTCACGCGGCCACTTTGCACGGCTGTGTTCGTAACCATTACAGTTGTAATCGCATTTACCTGGCGCTCGCGCGCGAGCCATCGTACGCGTATAAACGCGATAAGAATCGCGCGTCGTATCGCCCTTATGGAATTCTTCTTGCGCAATTACTCGCGAGACGCCAACTCGAACTCCTTCGAACCAACGTTATGTAAAAGAATACATTGATCTTTTCGTTTCGAAATTAACCAAGCGACTTCCTTTCTCCGTACGTGACGTTTCTCACTTCCGACGCTCCGATAAAGGTATCGAATAATTCGCTCGACTATAGCGAAATAATTTCGAAAGTTGTCCGAGCTAATAAAATAATCTCGCAAGCACGTTTCTTACGACGCAACGCGTCCCTTCTGCGATCGAGGCGTAGACGAAAATTCGCTTCGGCGTAGACGTTTCGCGAATTGACGTTGCGTTTCGTTGAACAGCGACGTCGTGTAGCTTTTTAACGGTACAAAAACTCGTAGCGTTCGACTCAAAGAGAGAACGACGAACGACGAGGAAAAGACGGAGCAATCGATCGGCTGTGCCGGAGCGGTAGAGAGAGATAAAGAGCGTAGATGCGGATCCGTCGAGCGGATTTTTATCGTGCACGCGTCACGCGTAATATTCGCTGGCTGGAACAAGGAAATAGAGGTAAAGTCTAAGACAAGGAACAAGAGAGTCAGCCATTTTATGAAACGGCAGAGCTGCCTCGTCTCGTTGCCATGAGAGCGCGCCACGTTCAGATCTTTTGGCGAAAAACTACGAGACGATTTTATAACCGAGACGTCAGCTTCGAGATTTCTCGTTGAAATTTCGCGTAATTTTCCGACATCGATCGACGAACAGACCAAAAACGAAATTAGGATCGTTCCCTCTGCTCTGCCTCAAATCGCAGCCAACTTGCGCGCTTTCGTCGATTCTACGCGTCTTTGCTTGCCATTCGCCGAGTATATTTTAGTTATTTTTCCATCGTGCCTCGTTATTCCGTGCTAGCTACCACGATAACACGATATCCTTTTTCCCGCGTTTCCGTTTGTTTTTGTTTCCGTTTTTGTAGTCATTTCCGCTTCCGGTTTCGTTTTCATTTGGCCGTCTGCGTCGTGGCTCGTTTCTTTTTTTCCACGAGGAGACAACGTGGCGAGCGTAGTCGTGGAAACGGGACGATCTTCGGCCTCATGTTCGTTCTTCCGAGTAAGTTTTAGTCGCACGTTCGATCCACTTGCGCTCGATAACGTTTCATCTTTTCAATCCGTAATTTCCGTGTTTTCCGACCTCGTGGCTTCCCCTTCCCTTCTTTTCCCTTCCCTTCCCTTTCCTCTGCCGTCTTTACGCGCACGCTTCACTGTGTCGCGAAGGTGGCAGATGGACGAAAAGAGAAACCAATAGCAGGAGAAGGTCGAACAGAGAGGGAGATGACTTGTTGTAGGAAGAAGGAAGGAAAAGCGAGCGAACTGGGACCCGAGCGAGAAAGAACAGAAGGAACGAAGCGGGAGACGGGTGGGAGCGAGCGAGCATCGACAGGGGGAAGGGGAGAAAGAGAGAGATAGAACAGGGAATCCACGAGCGATCGACTGCCCTAGTCAGTCCTCGTCCGTCTGCCGGTCGGTCGTTTACGTTTATGTTTGACAGCTTGTGAATTCGCGTCACTCGAGCTTCGACCAGCCAGTGCTTCGTCTGTGTGTGTGTGGATGTGTATGTGTGCCGTCTCATCTACCTTGCACGCTCGATTAAAAAAATGAATTCCTTCTCGACCGACTTGCCGATATTAATCGAGACTTTTCTCTTTTTCCTGGATCGTTCGATATTTCGAATCGATGCCTCGCATCCACATTTTCCGATGATTTTAAAAGACACTTTTATCCGTTCACCGCTGATTACCGGACTTCGACGATTCTTCGATTTTCAAAGGAGAAGAAGGTACGTGCAGTAATGAGAACAGTTACTTTTCCTTTTTTCTTTCCTCTTTTTTTCTTTTTCCTTTTTTTTTTTTTTTTTTTTTTTAAGGATCGAGTCGTTAAAAATTAACGAACGAGAGAAAGTTGGACAAAATGAAGGCGATCAAAGGCGTACACTGTCGTCGCAACGTTTCATACAGTTCACGCCGCATAAATAGAACGATGCGAAATAGAACGCCGTTGCCGATGCCGCGTCGATATCGCTGGAATGTACTTGCATATTTCCTCCGATTTCGTACGTGCGATTCGCGCGCAAATCGCGACAAACGCCTTGCATGTACGTCGCGACGCGTGTCTCGTCGCATCCCCCGGCCACGTGTCGAACGACACGTTTCATCCCCGTTTTCCTTCAGCAGCGGATTCACCGGTACCCTCGTTAGCTGATCGTACCTTGTCGCTTGCCTTTTTCGTTCCCCGTCAAATTGATAAACTGCAAACGGCGAGCTTTCCAACAGAAAGACGATATATATCGTTGTTCGGGCGAGGAATCCTCGATCAAGTCGTAATACTCGGTCGGCGATTCGCTCGACCGAGAAGAATTAACAGCTCGGCACTCGAGTCCGTAAAGAAAGAGCGATGGAATCGAGAAGGTGAACGCACTCACGCGAAATTTACGCTGGCCGCGTATGTGCGCACGTGCGCAGCCGTGCACGCGTGTACGTAGGATCGTTTGATGTTGGCAAATGGCGCAAGTAAATCCGCGTATTATTAAATAGATAACGACCATAAATTTGGCCAAGTTACATAAAGACGCAAAAGTGCGCGTTAAGGTCCACCGTTCTATTTATGTACCGACACGGCCGACGTTCTAAGACCGCGGTTCTCAACCCCGTTCCTCCGCTTCTGATCGCGGAACGAACGCCAATCGCCTCGAAATCGAATTCGCAGGATTGCACCGATAACGACGCTTCGACGCTCCATCTGTCTGTATTTAATAATAAGAGAGGGAAGAAAAGCATAAGCTTCGTATCGAAAAGCGCGGAAGTTTATTACCAGGAATATCGATTGGCTATGAATTTATAACGCGTAAAGAAAAAGTACCTGTAGTGGGTCAAATTCTTGAAAAATAGAACTGCTTTATGGTAGCAGTCCCGTTAAGTCTCGTCTTCTCTTACTCTAGCGATCGTTCACCCATTAATGAATCCAATTATTGCTCCGACTTTCAACAGAATTCCTTGCATTTCCGTGTGTATTAAAAGCAACGAGGGAACGTGATAAAAAGAGAGCCACTGGAAAGGAAGTCATCGAGAACGTTGTCCCTGTTTATCGTTGCCCGTATGTCTATTTGCCTTTTATCAATTCTAGAAGCGATAATTACTTTTCTAAATTGCGAGACCGCGGGGCCACGAACGTGGACACGTTCGTACATCTGTTTTACCCGCAAAGACGAGTACGATCGGTTTTTTTCCATCCTATTCGAGCAACAAAACGGTCCCGATACCGCTAATGGCTCGAAATAATTCGGGGACGATAATGGATCGCGGGCCCCAACCAACAATCTCGCAGTAGAATGATCCGTTTGCGGTCAGACGCGTGCTCGGTCACGAAGCAGCGGCTACGTGCAAGTACCATCCTGCCGTGAAAGGATCGGACGAACTTCTACGAGCTGCCCTGTACAAGTTTTTCTGCGGCGCCTCGTCGCATCATTGGCACGCTTCCAAACAAGCCAGCTCCGAGCTTCGTCTATTTTCGTTGATTCCGATCTTTACAGGAAGACAGTGACCGCATTCGCTACTGCCGCTTCTTCCGCCATTCGCGATAGACGCTCGAGCTGTTCTCTCGCCCGTTCTTTCCTTCCCTCGCGAGCTTTTACACGCTCGAGAACTCTCGCCGAGTTCCTATCACGCCCCTCTTTCTCCGTGCGTAAATTGGACGATTCGTTTCTACTACCGTACCAGGCTTCCAAAAATCTTTAAACATTCTTTAATTAAATCCTTCTAGGCGAAACGTTTAAAGCTTTTCACAAAGAATAAAAGGTCGCGAGCGAAATTTTACGCAAAGCTCTGTTGCTTCTGTTAGGCCACTCGTTGATGAATAGCCGGTTTTCACTAGCCGATGAAAATAGAAAATTACCGTTTAATAATCGACCGGCGATCAATCGTCCCTTGTGATCTTTTCTCTTTTTCTACCAGATCGTCCATTTCGATTTTACAGAATTCCCATAGAACAACTTGGATCGTTCCAACTCTTTTTGGATAATCTAATACGGTTTCGGCTCTAAATAGAAACCTAAATCCTCGATCGCACGCGTCACTCGAGATGTCTTAGAATTTTCGACCGTCGACGAATTTCGTCCGATTGCTCCTCGTTTCCGTCTGCTTTCATTCGATCGCACCGTCGTCGAACGCACCAACGCTTCTCGCTCTGTGCCTAACGCATCGCATGCAACAGGTATCTGGCCTGACGTCACGATTTCAGCACGACGAAAGAACAAACGACGCGAGAAGTCGCGAGATACAGTGGAGAGAAAAAGAGAGGTACAAGGAGGCCGAAGCGGGGGTGGGAGCAACGATGACTGGATGGTGGTGGTGGAAGTTCGTGCCGGTCGCCGGCGGTGACGACGGTGACGGCGGTAACAGCGTTAACGGCGGCGGAAGGGCCGCGGAATCGTGCATACATACTTACACACACAGGCCGGTCGCGCATGACTTTGGTCGTACGCGTTTCTCGTTCTGTCTCTTTCACCCTTCCCGTTCTATCTGCTCGGTGCGCTTTTGTTCTTTCATTCTGGTCGCGGCGTCTCTGTTGCTCGCGGTGCATTGTCACTCGAGAGAAACAAAATCGGCCGAGCGGAGTTGTGTCACCGCGACACCCTGTTACGCGAGTATTATTCAAGACGCGTGTGCGTGTTCGCACGAGCATACACGCCTTTGAAACGTCGAAAGAGCGTAAATACGCGGCAACGAGGAAGCTCGTCGATCAACGGTAGTTGGGTCGACGCGTCGCGACACCCGTGTTTCTTTTTAACCGAATGCGACGAAGAAATTAATCGCAGATCTTCGTGTTCGCCCC